GTATAATTGGGTCTGCTGCCTTAGTTTTAGATGGAAATTGACCTTGAAGCCTTAGGCATGTATCAACAATCGGCAAACTAATTGTAAAATTCAGAGCAGAGAAACACCTGAAGTTTAAAACTAATTTGAATTTCTATTGGCGTCAACAATGATTATGTTTTTGCCAAGCTACTGCTTTTTCAGACAGATCCTATCCAGTTCAAGGTCAACTTCTAAAGTTTGTTTATTAGTACTTTTATTTTAAGAAGTTTTTAATGGATGTTTAAATTTTTAGGGTGTGTTTAATGACTCTATTCAATTTTTAAACTTTTATTTCTGTGTTTAATAAGTTTTGTCTACTTAAATACTGTGTCATATAAGTGCTAAACTGATGGATATCTATTAGATGCAAAATTAAAACTGGTTAGAAAAATTTCCCACCATCATAGATACCACCTCAGGGACCAAACTTGTAATTTAACCTATCTCTAAATCTTGTCTACATGGGTATGATATTCTATAAATTATTTCCTTTTTTCTTATTAAATATCTCTTGTTTTTGATGGGCGTGGGTGCCCCTAGATATAGGGGAGCAAAAGTTCCCACTCTCGGTTATCAAAAAAGGGAAAAAAAAATGTATCTCTTGTTTCCTTATATCACATAGCAAGTACTAGTTGCTTTACTTTCCATTTTTTTTCATTGTTTGGTTTGGCTGTGTAATTGATTGAAGGTAATGTAATATTGTTGTCACTGATTAAGACAACTTTTTCCAGGTTGACCTTTGTGGTCATGCAACATTGGCGGCTGCACACACCCTCTTCTCATCTGGTTTAGTGAATTCAAATATTATTGAGTTTTCCACACTTTCAGGAATTCTAACTGCTAAGAAGGTTCCAGATGTGCATAACGGTGAAGCACAAGAGAGTTACTTGATTGAATTGGATTTCCCAGCTATCTCATCGGCTGAAGTCAATTCTGCTGACGTTTCTTCAATCTCCAAAGCGTTGAATGTTGCTTCTATACTTGACATAAAGATAACTACCACAGATAATCCCAAGAATTTCTTGGTAAGCCCTTCAAATGTCTTTGATCTGTTACCAACGCTACTTTTCATTCTTATGAGATGAGAAAATTGGTGAATACTTTCCGACCATGAGATTTCTTATGTTTTCAAGTGAGGATTTGCATTTAGAGAACCTGTTTCACATCGATATGTAAAATATGGTGAGAACACAACTCCTTTAAAAGCTCTTCGAGAGAGACGTAGACTCTCCTTTAGAGACATCTCTCAGCCAAAATTATAATAATCCTTTTATCGTTTTCCAATCCTTCTATATATTCCCTGCCCTCCCTTGTAACAAGTTACTATTTTGTCTATTACTTACAAAATGAGCCTCACTTGCACAAGCTTGGACACGCTTCTTATTTTACAAAAGAGCCAACACTCTAGAGAACACTAACCTAGGAGCATGAAACAGAACTTCCTCTATCATGAGCCAACAATTCATGTTACAAGCCAAACAAATCCCAAAACTAAACAACATTTGAGATTTTTTTTGATAGAGTTATTGTCTTAGCTCTTGGATGGGGTTAATGCTTCTACCCACCCTTCAATAGTTACAATCTAAATGATCTTCTTTATATCTAGTAAGAAGGCGTTCTTGTAACTTGCCCATATGGCCTCTTGTATATTTCTAATCATCAATGAAATATCGTGTTTCATACCAAAAAAAATCCCAAAGGCCTCCAAAACAAAGAGTCCCAAATTCTACTAATTAAACTTAGCTAAAATTTCTCCTAGTAAATGTAAACCGGATTGGAGGCTTTGCTTTCCTATCACCACTTAAGTAGTATATATGTAGGAATGGCAGTTCATCCCGTTAACTAATGCAACATTTTTCAGGTTGTTCTTCCATCAGGAAAAGACGTAGTAGATTATCAACCTAACATTGATGAGCTACTAAAGTGTCCCGGAAATGGGGGGGTAATCATAACTGGAGTTCCCCCTGCTGAGTCTGAATTCGATTTTTACAGTCGATTCTTCTGCCCCAAATTTGGGATCGACGAGGTACTGAACGAATCTTCCCTGAATGATTTAATGTTAAAGAATAGAGATTGTTTATGCATGAACTGTGAAGGCAATACATGGAACTAGCTAATACTAATCCTCTCTTCCATGTTTATAACTTATTATGTGAACTGGGTATCATCAACTATGGGTAAAACTGAGGTATGTGAATCTCAAATGCAAATAATGATGTTCTCCCAAGTAGTTCAGCTCCTAAGCCCAGAGTTGATTTAGGAAGTTTCTTTGGTTCAGAACTGGCTTTGATTAGAAATTCTTAAAACCTTTGTTGCATTTTCAGGATCCTGTGTGTGGTAGTGCACACTGTGCCTTGGCTGTCTACTGGGCCAAAAAGTTGGGGAAGTCTGATTTTGTTGCTTATGCGGTACTCTCTCTCTCTCTCCACTTAGTTCTGAAAATGTTTGCGCTTTATCTACCTATTTACTTATTTTCAAACATAAATTAGAATTAATAACTAATGTCTAGTTGTACCTCAAGTAAAATAGATATTTTTAATGAATAATAAGTGTGGGTGATGGTCTTGTTCAAACCCAAATTAATTTTAGAACATATGGCCAACTAAACTTAGAAAGCTTCAATTTTTTTAACTCATCCGGACTCAATTCAACCCAACTTACCTAGTCTCTATAATTTCTTTAATTTACTTTGGTTATTGTATTTTCAAAACTTTCATTTTAGACCATATACTTTCAAATTTTTTTTATTTTGGTCTTTGTACTCTTGAAATGTTAATTTTGATCTGTATACTTTTAAAAAAGTTACCATTTTGACAATTCATTTCCATTTTTATCTCATTTATTTCGATGATAATTTTAGCATGACACTTCACTTACTAAATTTCTTTAAATGTAGTTATAAGTTTATACTAAATGAATTCCATTGTGTATCAAATTTATGTTAAAATTTTGTAAATATGGACCAAATTGATCATTTTTTAAAATTACATGGACAAAAATGGACATTTTAAAATTATAAGGACCAAAATGAACAAATATTAGAGTACATGAATCAAAATAAACGTTCTGTAAGCACAGGGACCAAAATGAACCAAAGTCAAAAGCACAAGGATCAAAATAGTATTTAAACCTAAAATGAATTTGCAAAATGGTTTGTTTCAACTTAAACTAATTTTAGTACATACGAATTGTTGAGATAGTCATAAATAAATTAAATTTACCCAACCCATTAGCTTAAACTTTTGGGTTGGGCAGTGGTTTTATTTATCCTTAACACAATCAAATTCATCGATTTCAACTCATTTGAACTCAACCCAACTCAAATAAGCTTACAACTCAATTCAACCGTTGGATTTTTAAGGTCATCAAGTTCTTTTCTTCTTGTTCATCCCTTACATCTTATGTTTTTGGCTTTGTTTCTTTGTGGTTAGGCATCACCTAGAAGTGGAATATTGAACATCCATCTGGACGAGCAGAAACAGAGGGTTCTATTGCGAGGGAAAGCTGTTACTACAATGGAAGGGGTAATTTTAGTTTAGACTCTCGAATCAATCAAATCAATTTAAGTCGTATCTCCCTTTAGCATAATCCAAAAATGGCAATGATTAGGTGGACAACTCCCAAGAAATAGAAACTTTGAATGAACTGTACCATAATATTGTGCTATAATATGGCCTTTATGAAGGTAAATGCTCTATTTGAACACCTTTGTTTCAGCTTGTATATGAATCCTGGATCCTTTTAATTGATGCTACTTGAATTTGGCATGCTGTTGATTTGGCATGCTTATCGAGTAAACATTAGTTGATTTTGTAAGATAAATAAAGTTACACGAATGACGTACTATTATACTAAGCTAGAATTTATGGAGCCTTGGTACTATTTCTGGTCTCATTGCTGTGGTGAATGGAATAATAGGGTAGTTTACTTGTGCTTGTTTATTTCAAAACTTTCTTCTTAAAATTCTCAAGTTGGATGCTAGTTTGGTTTTAATTCTAAAAATGTTGGAATTAGTGGAAATTGCACACCGCAAGAGGTGGACTCAAAGAGTATGAATTTCTAAAAAAAAAAATTTTAAAATAGACTAAAGCATCGCAAGATTAGATCAAGAATAGCAAAAATAGACTAGGATCAATCTACAGAAATGAAAAAACGAAAAGGGGGAGGGGGTGGAAACCCTAATTTAGGAGAGAGTCGGTCGGTCGGTTTTATATAGGTTTGTAGTGACCAATCGACCACGGTCGATTAGGTCAGTTTCGTTTGATCGGTTTGATTCTTTTGGCATGCTTGTACACCCTTAGTTCTTTTCTTTAGATTTATGCATGTGTGATGAATCACACGTGCTTATGTACTTTTTTCTTAGGACATCAAGAATAGCTGGAGTGATGATCGAATCTTTGACCTTGAATAAGGTTGTCTTAATCAATTGAACCATGCTCAGATTAGTCCTATGCTTATGTACTTAAATTCAATGTTTAGTTTTTAAAGTTTCACAAAATCTTAGAGGGAACAAAATACATTTTTGATCCTTGAGACTTGATTTAGTATTTATTTAGTCTCTCTAGTTTCAAAAGAGACCGTTTATGAGTTCTTAAGGCTTAGAAGATGATTCTAAATGATTAATGAGCTTATATTACCGTTAGTTGATTATTGAAAAAATGATTAGATGCTAATTGTACTTTGTTGAAGTCGCAAAGTTCATTAATTTAATATTATTTTTGGTGACTAGATTATGAAGTAGTAATATGTTCTTTCTCCTTCCCTCTTATACTTCCTTTTATCACTTGTAGCACACCACAAATGTCTTAACAAGTTTGCGACTAACAACAACGTTCGTGATCTACGACAAGGGTTATTTCCATATTGAACGAGGAATTTTTGTTCCTCATTCCTCATTCTAGATCATACAAGAAACACTTGTTCCTCAATCCTCATCAAACAAGAAATGCTCGTTTCTCAATCATCATTCCAAATCAAACAAGAAATGTTTGTTCCTCAATCATTATTTCAAATCAGACAAGAAGCACTCGTTCCTCAATCCTCATTCCAAACTAGACAAGAAACACTTGTCCTTTGATCCTCATTCCAAATCAGACAAGGAACACTCATTTGGTCATCAATCCCCATTCCAAATCAAACAAGTAACTTTCATTTTTCAATCCATATCAATCTAGAACAGAAGTAATATGGGATTTTGTTCCTTTTTAGAACGATCTTTCTTTTTAAGATCTAACATGACGACGAAGGGATACAAATACAACAATCGACGAGAAGGTGACTCGACGACGACAAAGTTCACCAAAGGAGGGGAGAAAAAGAGAGGACAAAAGGAGGACAAACAGAGGAATAGTCCCATCATTAAAAAAATTATTAAATTAATCTATTTTGCCAAAAATGTAAAATTAAAACTGCCTTGAAAATTCATGGAGCAAAAATATATTTTACCATCTTTTATATATATATTTCTAAAAAGACAAATTGTCTACCAAAACTGAAAATGGGTGATCCGACAGTTGATAAAATGACCACTATCACCACTTAATTCTTTTCTTTCTTTTTATCCAAACAGCACTTGTTGGACCTATTAAAAAAGATCATAATTGGAAAAATTAGTTGAAAAATGGGCCATTTTTGTTCCAAAAAGGGAAATAATAATAACCAAATTCGTTTTCTAAAATGTCAATGACTCCTTTTTCATCCAACAATATCTATCTAAAGCTCTATTATTAAAAAAATATATGTATTTCACTCGACTCGTCTCTCTAACTTCTTTAATGAAAAATATGATAAACAAAAAGAAAATTTAGACAATATTACAAATAGCCCATGAGCTGTATTCCACATGTAATATTATTTGATTTCCTATAAATATGCTACAAAGTGCAAGTTTTGAGTGAGTCAATCTTTACTCTTCAAAAATGCCTCTCTTCTCTTGTTCTTGTTCTTTTTTTCTTTTCCGTTTCTTTCTCTCCAAACAGCCTTTGTTGCTCCCATTCACAAAGACCACAACTCCCTTCTCTACTCCATCTCCGTCTTCATGAAAACTCCCCTCCGCCCTACCAAGCTCCACCTCGACCTCGGTGGTGCCTTCTCCTGGATCGACTGCTACAATCATTACAATTCTTCCTCTTATCGCCTCGTCGACTCCGAATCCGCTCTTTGCAATTCTATGCATCCTAATATTGCTGGCCCTTGCGTTGACGCACCAACTCCATTTTGCTCCAATAATGGCACTACTCTCTTTTGCTATGTTTACCCTGAGAAACCACCGTCGATTAGAGACTCTGTTGATTACGACCACGTAAAGCTCACAGATTCCGAGAATCTGATCGTCGACGTTCTCGCTTTGTCAACCACTGATGGTTCCAACCCAGGCCCGCTTCGTCAAATTCCTCACCTTCCAATTTCCTGCTCGATGTGATTGGCCTAGTGGCACTCGGCCCGCAAATGAGTCGATTCCTTCGATGGTCAGCACTACATTTGGAAGGTAATAAACTTTTGTTAACATGTCAAAGTTTTCATTCCCACTCAGTGTATTACAACGATACTTAGGTGGTTATTCGAAAGTTAGATAAGCTGAATTTTTCTTCATTTTATCGATATTTTTTCTATCAAATATTATTGTAAAATTGAGACATCAACATTTCTCTCATAGATCCAAGTACTTCGCGGTGTGCTTACCGGGAGCGAGATCGGGTCCAGGCGTGGCGTTCTTCGGATCGAAAGGACCCTACAAATTTTCCCCAAATGTGGACCTCTCCAAATCCCTAATTTACACTCCATTGCTCTTCAATCCGGTGAGCGCCTCCATCTACACCTATTGGTTACCCTCCTACGAATACTACATCGCCCTCTCCGCCATCAGAATCAACGCCAAAACGGTGCCGTTCAACACTTCTCTGCTGCCGTTCGAGCCGATCCACGGCGGCGGCGGGACGAAGATCAGCACCTCCGCCACCTACGCCCTGCTCCAGACCTCCATTTACAGAGCATTCGCGGCGGCGTTCGCGAAGGAATCGGCAGCACTCAATTTCACGGCGACAGATCCGGTGAAGCCGTTCGGCTTGTGCTACGCGGCGGAGAGCGTGGCGATGACGGCGGCCGGACCGGCGGCGCCGGCGGTGGATCTGGTGATGGAGGGAGGGAAATCGGCGTGGAGATTGGGAGGGAGGAATTCGATGGTGAGGATGAAGAAGGTGGGAGTGGATGCGTGGTGCTTGGGATTCATCGACGGCGTGGAGAATCCGAGGACGCCGATCGTAATCGGAGGGCTGCAAATGGAGGATCAATTGCTGCAATTTGATCTTGAGAATTCTCGATTTGGATTCGGTTCTTCGGTGTTGCTCCAAGGGACTTCTTGCTCCAAGTTTAACTTCACTTCCCTCGACAATTTCATATGAGACGTTGATCAAAGATCACAAGCCCAGAAGACTTTTGGTCCTGTGCTCTAATTTAGTCTTTAAACTTTAATTAATATATAGTAATTTAAAGTTTTGTCAAAATGCGCATAGTTCAATGGTAATTGACATATATAGTCAAGAGGTCATGAGTTCGATCCCCCACCACACATATTGTACTRAAAAAAGAAAATTGTTATATAATAAAATTTGATAGGTAATTTTAATAAAAAAATTTCTTATGATAAAGATTAAATTGTTATAAATTTTATACTACATAGATTAAATTGTTACRGACTAAAATATGTGGAAAATTTTTCCTCCACCCGACTCCGTGGTGGGAATTTTTTGCTCCATTTGAGGTGAGTCTTCAGAGGCCCAATTCGGCATATGTAGCTCGGGAATATCAAGTCTGAACTAGATTSAGGGGGTGTTATGATGCCTAGAATGGGGAAGCTTATGACCTGTGTAGCACAGCTTGTGACCTATAAAAGGGATGTAGGAATGTTAGCTGAGGTTTGCTGTGTTTTTTTAAAACCATTTTTTTACCTTTGTTTCTTTTTAAACTAGCTATTTACCCCTTTACAATGTTGGTATTTCATTTTTTGTTTTTTATAATTTATGTATTCSGTACTTCAATTTGTTTATTTTCTTTTATTCATCGATTGTTACGTATTCTASAATTTAAATTTAATCAAACTGTTCACAATAAATTTATGACAAAATATTTTTATTTGAATTAACTTAAAACAAAATATATTATCTAGATTATTGTGAAACAGTTAAAACTTTATTTTTATATATATTTATAATGTTTTAATATGTCTACGTTAAAAATGAATACTATACTTTTTTTTCCGCAGGAATGAATACTATACTTTGAATGTGGTAAATTTGAAAATAAAATAACTTTTTAATATGGATAAATATTATTTAATTTCAAAAGTAAGAAAATAAAATACCATTTACTTTTTTTAGTTTAAATATAACTAATTTGAAAATTGATTATTTTTTTTTACTTTTAATATGATAAATGCAAATTAAATATATATTTTTAATTATTAATATTAATAAGTCCAAATTAAACTAATAGTCTTTTATCTTAAAATCACTTATTAAAATTTACGTGGCAATTTTTGATTCGCCGAAATTTATCAGGGACCCTTGTGAAAATTATCGAACTACCCATATTCATATATTCTTAAGAAATAAATAAAACTCTAAACTTTAAATCCTAAATCCTAGACCTCGTGGAGACACACGTGAAACGTTGATAATTTACTTACTTTCCATTTGAATAAATGAGAAATTATCGCTGAGCTATCCTTAGTGGCAATTTTTTTTTTTTGTATTTATATATAAAGAGACGTGGATAACATGTAGTGATCCAATATTTATTAGTTTCGAATTTAAAGTCTTTAAATTCTAATATATATAAAATATGCCGGTCAAATTTACTTAATTTTATGTTTTTTTTTAACGTTTCAATGTTTCATAAAGTATGTCATTTATATTAAAATTTCACCATAGTTTATGTGTCGCA